TTTTCCTTAAGTGCATCTTTTTACTGCTGTGTGTTTATATGAGATGGCTATCTGGCTTTCTGACTATGGTCTGATCAGACAATTTACTTCCTCAGTAACCCTATAAATTAAATGTTTTAAGCCAGAAAACATTTTCTAAAGACAGGACCTTTTACTCACCACAGGTGGATATTTGGTCAGTGTAGGAGCTGTGACTGATGTAATTACTGACGGAGCACTTCAATAGACCATGCACATGCTGTTTCAAGGTGATGGTCTTGTTCAGATGGTTTCCAGACAGGAGTTCATTCTCTGTCAGTGGACTTCCATTCAGAGTCCAGCTGTACTGAGGATCGTCTCCTCGCTGAGAGGAGCACGACACCTTCATCTCTCCCAGGAACAGACACTCAGTGGAGAAACTGACAGAAGACACTGGAGCTGCAGGACAAAACACTTTGTCACTTAAACTCTGCAAAAGAATCAGATATGTATGTGGTCTGTGCAGAAGAAAAGATGTTTACCTTGAACATGTATGTTCACAGTCTGTGTCTTAATTAGACGTCCTTCATAATATAGTGAAACCTTATGTTCACCACTGTCAGTCCTGCTCAGGTTATTGATTCTTAATGTTCCATTATCAGGAGTAAAGAAGAATTTATTTTCAGTGTAGTAACGTATGGATCCCTGTTTAATTTCTAATAATGTTTTTGTGCTGTTTTTTAATAGAACCGTTCCTTTGTCGTTGACTTTGTCCATCAGCTGGAGAACCAGAGTTCCTCCCAAAGGTCCGTAAAACTGAGCTCCATTCTGTCTGCCATCACAGAAGTTTTCCATGCCTAGAATGTCAAAGCAACAAGAAACAGAACTAACCTCATCAGTAACTACTGGAAGTACAGTGTTGGTCATAAAAATTTACAGCAGATCACAGTTCCAGTGTGTGTCAGATTCAAGCTGATTTTGAGTCGTTGTCCGTCTTAGATATTTACAGTTCAGTCCTTTCGCTCTGTTTTTTCTGGTGCATCTTTTTACTGCTGTGTGTTTATATGAAGGGACTCTCTAGCTTTCTGTCTATGGTCTGATCTGCCCATTTATTTTCTCAGAAATCCTACAAATCAAACGGTTTAAGCCAGAAAATGTTTTCTGAAAGAAGGGACATTGACGGAAAAAAGTAACATTGGATTACAAAAGTATAAGAAAATCAAATAACACTACACTGACAATACAAAATGTGTAAAGTCAGATAAGAAAATATTCTTTGTCAAAATAAAAGCCTAATTTTGGCATATTTATTTTGGATGTTCTATTAGTCTTGTGTCTGTTATTAGCCTGTTATTTTCAGTAAATCTTTATCATCTATAATTATTGACTATAATTATTAACTGAAATAAATGTATCTACTACCCATTCTCAGCACAACTACCCCATCACACTATTACATTTTTGTTGCATGGGGAGTGATACACAAATGTGTTTGTGAAATTGTGAAATTTGATTAAAAAAAATTAGTAGTCATTAAAAAGTTGCAGAAATTAGATATAAAAATATATTCAACCTTTAGAAATATTGAAGAGGTCGAAGAGGTCACTTAAACATGATTATATTAAATCTAGTTTAAACGAATGCTCACCGTGGGAAACTCTGAGGAGAATCAGGAAAAGTCCAAGCACAGCTTCCATTTCACCCTTCACTGACTTAACTCTGCAGCTTTCCCAGAAAACCACTTTAAAGCAAACATGCAGTTGATCAGAACAGTCACTGAACCTCAGATGAGAATGTCTGATAACTGTTCAGGTCGTGTTATCATATAGTATAAGTATTTATGTTCTGATCAGAGAGGACATGAGGAAGTAGAGGCCTTAGTAGAAGTAGAAACCACTTCCCCTTTAGTCTATAAAAAGCAGGTAGTGTTGGTGCACAGATAAGATCTGTTTCTTGCAAATTCAACCTATAATGGTTTCTGGCATCTCATCAACTATAAAGATATACCATGCATAAGTTGAATGTCATAATAATACTCAGAGTCGTGAATGTTTGAGTTTATTTTTTTATCCAATCATATTTCAGCCTCATGTCTTGCCATGGTGAAAGAAACCTGTCATAAAGCCGTCAGACTCGGTGGTGTGGGCGCTGAGGACTTAAAATGATTGGTAATTAGATTGTTATTTAACCAATCAGATTTTGAGTAGGCATGGCTGACACACGTTACGATGGCGATTTGAGTGATTTGATTGGAGGGTCAAAGAACTCGAATTTAGCAAACAGTACCTAGCGACTTACACGCTCGAAATTTAAGTTAATTCTGCGTCCATTGCTCCAGGACACCGTCGAGCGTCATTCTCTGTATTCATCGATTAAAAAAAGTATACGATTAATAAGAAAGGACAGACTCGACTTTCAGCATTAGAACGAATGGCGATAGAAAAAGACGTGTTGTTAGCTTTACAACACATGGATAATCTGTACAACCGAGTAATTGAAATCAACTGCAGAGAGGAGGGTGCATTTTGTGTACAACTAAACTCTAGTTTTGGTGAGTAAAATTAGTTTTTAAATAATATGCATTCAATCTTGAGGTGAGAAATAGAAGAAGTAGTTATTTCAAACGTTTGTGCACATGTTTGAAATAACTACCGGGTTATGGAACGTCACACTTTGTTGGGAGGTGTGAAAATATGTTAGCTAAAGACTCCACCACCAGGTTTTGTAGTACAATACGTGGTTTTCGAAGAACGCGCAAATGTTTAGACAAGTCCGGGATTTTCCGCATAAATGTGGACGGGATATGTCCAGTTAGACCAGAGGTTGTTCGGAGGTGGTAGGCCACCATTTGAGGCCATCTTGGGTCCATTATCTTTGGGTAGATGAAATGAATGAGAAATACCAGCAGGGGGAAACCTTTTACCTAAAAAGGCTTTTAGTCAGCACTCAGCAGCAGCTTTAATAATAGCAGTAATCGATGAACAAATAAATCTGTGATTGCCCTTAGAGACATAGTCCTTAAGATTTCTCAGATGTTTTGACAACAAATGTAGGAAGTTATGTTTTTTAAAAAATGCACAATTGCAACTGTAATGGTTTATTTATGTTTATATTTATTTAACTTTCTTTATATATTGTGTTTAATTTTGAACTGAACTTAATAAAATGTTGAGCTAGAACTTCAATCATTCTCTATATTTTATTTACACCCAAAAACAAAAAGCATTACATGTTGTAAAGTGAAAGCATTACAAAATGTTATACATAAAAACGCACTATTTCAGTGGAAGATTCCAGTCATTTTAAGAAAAACTCAAATTGAATAAAGATAAAAATCAGCTATGTGATCTTTATTATGCATTTCGTTACTGCTGTTCAAATATACAGTGCTTGGACAATCAGAGACACCAAGTAAAAAGTTTCTGTTCACCATGCAGGGATTTGGGCTTGTATTTATATAAGGGCTGTTGAAATTAAACATTTTATTCGTATTAATCAGAGGATTGCTGTAGATTATTATGATTAAATCTGAGTAATATTGTTCTCAATAAACTGCAAGTAATCATCAGGTTTGATATGGTATTTTACGGTCAAAGTGCTTTGGTGAAATATTTTTTTTGTTCTGCACTGTGTGTAAATAATGTGTATATACTGTGTATGGACAGTGGACGGTGTTAAAATGCAAAACAATTTTGATCTAATTCATATATTACTTCATACTACAATATCGTATCCATATTCTACAGCACTTTATTGATTTTTTTTAATTAACATGCAAATATTTATGGTGTTAGTTCATTTTTGTGTCTTTTAGGTCTCTGACTGCTTGTTGATTCTACAGGAACTGCATATATTTGTGAGTATATGAGACTATGAGTCAAAGAATCTTTATTTTTTTTATTATTATTCCTTTCTTCTCTAGCGAATACAAATGTAAATCCCTATGTTCCAATTCTAGTTAAATTGTTTTTTTTAACTCAATATACGTTGTGCCTACAGTATCACAGTATATCACAATATATGTTGTATCATTACCCCTGTATCCTGATACATATGGTATTGCCAGATTCCTACTAATACATGTTTTTACAGGTTTTTCATACACAGTGACAGTCATGACACATTTAAAATAAAATCCATCGAATTTGTTCAAAATTCTTCTTGCAGCTTTTGGAAAAAATGTATACACATAATTTAATTGTGAGATTCTTAATTCAAGCCTTAGAATCTGCATGAATCAACAAGTTACAAAATATTAAATCATCACTGGAGATCAAGAACAGTGTAAATTTAGTTTTGCAATTATCTATACTATTTTATACATCATTATCCTGCTTGGTTTTTTGTTCTTGGAAAGTACAGATCAGTGTTGCTTGAACATCCACGATCATAAGGATTTGTCTTCCAGTTATACAGCAGATCCTGAAGAAAAAGAGAAGGAAACAAACAGATTTAATATTTACGGCTATGCTAGTGAACACTGTCATTTATATTTAAACTTTAACTTTAAATCCAGTCATGCCTCACCTGATTTCTTTTTACGCCTGCGTACACAGCAACAAACACATAATAGTATCATCAGAACAAACACTGCCCCCCCGGCTATGGCCACTGCGATCATGAGAATCAATCTTTTTTCTAAGAAAAAAAGATAAAAGAACAGATGAGGACACGTTAAAAGGACAATCAATTATATGTAGAAATATTCAATGTCGGCCAATTATGACACTTAAAAACAATAATAAATGGCCTTAAACCTCTATCAAATATCTCAAAGGTCATGGTCTGTCAAAAGGGTTGGAATTTTTTTTTTTTTTCAGTGTATGTGAAAATAGTTTCAAAGAAATAAGTTCCTTATGTTAAGTTTTTTTACTTTACTAACATTTCATTTTATTTATTATTTTAGTTTAGTCTTGGGTAAAAGATAATGAGACATGACCAACATTTATTATATTTAGTTCAGTTAAAAAATAATGTTGTTTTATAAATTTTATTTAAAAAAACAAAGCTTGTGTTTCTTGTCCCTTACACAAAAAGAAATGGTTTGATCCTCCCCAAAATATTAGGCTGTAAATTAGATCCAGTGTGTATGGTGAATTTGCCTTAACATGCATACTACTATTGCCTCCTGTTGGATTTATTGCACAATTGCACATGTTGGTAATTTGTGTGGGCCACAGGAAATGTGGAACAGTCACATTAAGGATATGATACAAAAGACCGCTGTTACAAAGGTGATTATATATGTTTCTTTAAGACAAAATTGGTTGGGTCTATGTTCTACTTCTCAACATGCTTAAAATGTTATTACAAGTGCTGTACTAGAACTGGTGTCCTCTGAACCAGACAATATTATGGTGAATAGTATCTTCATAGGTAACAGCACGTTATTTCTTAACAGACACAAATCCATGTTTCAGAGGTTTTAATAATAAAATAATTCAGTTTAAATAATCAAATTTCCAAGTTTCTTTTTAAAAAGCAGGCTGCAAGGCCAACAAGAAAAAAATGACTTGTGTTGAACTAAATGATATTGGAATAAATGTGTATAAAAAATATATAATAGTGGACTCTAGTTGTAATCAAGGAAAACCTGAGCACAAAATAAGCATTTTGTAGTTTTGCAGCAGTTCTCAAACTATGGCACCCTCTATTTTGATGTCTGTCAGCGCACGGGAAGGCGAGGAACGTAATTTCGATACCTCTGTATGTTCTGTACATGTGAAGGTATTGACAATAAAGCTGACCTTGACCTTGACCTTGACCTTTAGTTGTGTCAACACAGGAGTGGGCCAAAGTGAACCTGCTCACCTGAGCATTATATTTGTGTGTGTGGTTTGGCTTTGATAAATAGTCTAATAATAAGTCATTTGTCTTGAATCTCTTCTTCCCATAATGATGGGGAAGATGGTACAATGTGTAAATGGTTTAAGGAACCACTATCCAAAGAACCTATGCAGAGAACAATCCACTGTCAATCCGAGGAGAACACTGGCCAGTACACAGAACATCCTAATTTCCAATCAGACATTGTGTGTTTTATTACTTGCCTTGAACATCCATCTGTATGCTGGTGGTGCTCACCAGGACCCCATTTTGATCAAACACCTGTGTTGTGTAGTGACCGGAATCACTATGCTGCAGGTTTGAGATTTTAAAAGTTCCGTTATAGATGAAGAACTCTGTCCTGTTTCTAAATCCCTCGTGCTGTACGGTAAACTTCTCTTTCTTCAGGGTGAACACATTTGTCATTTGTCCATCGTCGAGTTGTTTTCTGCAAAACACCTGATGACCACTTGCATTGCTAATCACTTGCATGAACAACGTTTCTCCTGCAGGAAGTGAACATTCAAGAATGTTGTTTGTCTTCTCACACTGATTTCCTGTAACTGCAGCAAAAAGTAAATCAGACTGTTGGATATTTACCATTTTGAATGTTTAAAAATGTTGTTCTTACCATGAGTTACACCTCCCATCATTGTCAGAAGAACAAAAACGTGATTCATGGTTTTTAAATCAATTTAAATGATTGCACACAAACACAAACTCCTAAAATAAATCAATTCAAATGTGCCGTTTGGCTCGATACAGGAAGGAAATGTGCCTTTTGTTGGCAGGAGGGGTTACATGACAGGAAATGATGTAATTTTCTTTCACTTCTCTCTTCAAATGCTACATTCTTTGTTCTGTTGTTTTTAGGATATTGGCTACGCCCATGGTACTGTTATCATTGATGATCAGGGTTTATTCACTTTTTACTTCAGAGCCAGA